TTTTTGTTTTTTATAAAGTTAAAGTATTTATAAAAGACTGCCGAAGCTGTTGTCAATTTTTCAACAGACCTTTACCACAATTATAAAATGTTCTAAAATTCCCTTAGTTGTTTACCGTAATTTAAATTAAACTTTTTAATTCTCTTGCAACTTGTTTAATTAGATATATTTTCGCACAACATTTTTAAATCTCCGCACACATTTTTCTAAAAAAAAATAAATATATAAATAAGTAAATAAAACATTGTAGCAGAATTTCGAATTTCACCTGGTCTCTGCTCTGTTCGTGTTTAATGTGTGGCTTAGAGCTTCGAGTAACAGTTGAGGGCGTGTGTTTTTGATGTTTTGCGGTTGAGAGAGAAATACACATAAATTTGAAGCACATTATGAGGAGAATCGCCCCGAGGTGAAAACTCATAATTTCACTTCACTCTCGCTCCCATTTTATATGTATATAATTTTTTTTTTCTTGGTCGACAAGTAAATTAAAAAGCTAACCCCAGTCGACGCCATGCTTGCCATGCTAGTCGTGTCTAGCTTTGGGCCGAACGAGGGCCAGGTAGCAAAAGTCAAGCCAAGCATCAACCGCAGCTCGAGCTGCTCGGATGTCTGCTGCTGCAACGCTGCGTATGCGTGATTTGTGTGTCTTATCAATCACGCCTAATGGAATTTCTTTCTTTTTTTTATATTTTTGTTGAGCTGGAGTTGGAGCAGGCGCAGGGATGGGGGCAGAGGCAGGTACGGGGATGGGGACGGGGACAGGCACATACTTGAGGCAGACAAAGTTCCCTAATAATTTATAATAAGTTGCCAGATCCTGCGACCTCAAATTGAAAAGTTTTCCCAATGACTTTTATGTACGTGCACACAGCCATACATATTTATTCTATATACATATATACATCTATATATCTGTGCTTGATGACTTATGACAAGACATATAATTTCAAGGCCATCTACACAGATTCCACAATCAGGGCCGCATACGGCGGCAAACTGAGGTTGTTCAACGCGACGCTGTCGCTGCAAAAAAAAAGAAAATAAAATAAATTAATCAAATAAAATAGAAAAATTCGAAATATTAATTTGAGCAATTGATTGGCTAATGGGCTTACCCCACGGCCGCCTTGGCCTGCGGATTGAGCAGCTTGATCTTGTAGCTGCCGGGGGCGTATAGCTCGCTGGCCACATTCACTCCGCAAACGTGGCTATCCAGCACATTGGCCACCAGCACATAGGTGGGCTGACCACTTAGCGCCCTCTTGATGGCCACCACGTTCTCATTGATGGCCGCGTAGCGTGTGGTGCCGTACTGCAGCGTCTTGGACTTGCGCAGCTCCACCAGCTGCTTGTACAGATGGAGGTGGCTGGTGTCGGCGGCCGTCTCTGCCGCCACATTCACCGTCACATAGTTGGGATTGATGGGCAGCCAGGTGGAGCTGTTGGTGGAGAAGCCGGCGTTCGCCTCGCTGCTCCACTGCATCGGTGTTCTGGCCGGATCGCGAGTGAACTGCTGGTAAATGGTCTCGTTCGAGTTACAGGCGGCCGGATCGCGTGTATCCTCCCAGCTAATATAGCCGTCCGTCATGCCCAGCTCCTCGCCCTGGTACGTAATGCTCACGCCGGGCAAGAACATTTGCAGCATATTCATAAGATCGATCCGATCCTCTCCATACCGACTGCCCACACGACGCTGATCGTGATTGCCCATCTGCGAAGAACTTTGGGTTAATACTGCTCTAATTACACTCTGATCCTATTGAGAATTAGAAATTTCGGTATACTGAAAATTGGTAGTCTTTATATAGTTAATATAATATTAATCAGTACGGCGAGAAGAGTCTACCCTGAAGCGCTTTTGATCAGTAGTGTCCATATAAATAGAAGTCCAGTTATTCATCAAGCAAGGCCAATACGCCAGCGGGTGTGCATGTATGTGTGTGAGTGTGTGTGTTTGAGCTGAGCGTGCATAAAAGAAGTCTGCAATGAGTGAAATCTCAGCTCTTCGCCGCGTAAGCTGCATCAAACGTGCGTATGTGTGTGTGTGTGCGTTATGTATGCACAAAAGGAACGTGCGAGTGAAATCTCAGCTTTCGCCGCGTAAGCTGCGCAGTAAGCAGAGCGCGCATCTATGCAAGAAAGCTTTCAATGATTTAAATTGCAGCTCTTCGTCCCATCAAATGCGCTGTAAGCAGAGCGCGCAAAGCGAAGGCGTGTGTGTATGTGAGTGTGTGAGTTATGTATGAATAAAAGAAGCATGCCTTGAGTGAAAGCTCAGCTCGAAGAGCGACAAGGCAAAGAGCACGATTATGCGAGTGGGTATGTATTTATGTATGAGTGCGTGTGTGTGTAAGCTATTTATGAATAAAATAAGCCTGCCTTGAGTGAAAGCTCAACTCGAAGAGCGACAAGGCAAAGAGCGCGATTATGCGAGTGGGTATGTATGTGTGACCTATATATGGATAGAAGAAGCCTGCTTTGGATAAAATCTCAGCGCATAAGCTGCGTAATAAGCAGAGCGCGCATTTATGCAAGCGTGTGTGTGTGAGAGAGAGAGAGAGCTATTTATGATAAAAGAAGCCTACAAAGAGTGAAATTGTCGCTCTTCGCAGCTCTCAGGGTATTTCCCAGTCGAGCAATCTCCCACTTACACTCTAACAAATTCTGAATACCACTTCGATTTGAGACTCACCACCCAATTGGCCGTTTGGTCGGCTGGCATCTGGCCCAGCCAACTATTGATGATCTTCACGAATCCATTCGCACTCAGCTCCGTGTTGTTCTTGTTGCCTTCGCCGCCGACAATGAACTGGAAGTTGAAGGGGATCTGGGCGCCCTTGGTTGTGCGATTGCCGTAGAACTTCATGACGTAGTCCAGGCTCGAATAAGTCTCCACCATGAGGACGCGCGTATCGCCGCCATGAACGCGCTTGTAGTCGTCGAGTAGCTGGCGCCACTGGTAGACCATGTCCACGGTCTCTATCAGATCCTGGGTGTAGATGTGCTTCAGATACGCCGAATCGTCTGGATCTTGGGTGTAGCCGCTTAGCGGCTCGTCAGGATAGCGGCCGTCAGCATCGGGCAGCACCTCAAAGCACCAGGGCACGGCATCGATGCGAAAGCCGGCAACGCCCCGATCCAGCCAGTAGGTGAGCACGCGCTTCATCTGGGCCACGACCGCCGGATTGCGATAGTTGAGATCGGGCTGCTTAACGGCAAACTGATGCAGATAGTATTGGCCACGCTGTGCGTTCCACTCCCAGGCGCTGCCCCGGAAGGCCTGCAGCCAATTGGAGGGCGGTATCCGCGCTCCCGTGCTGGCATTCACATAGCCATCGTGCCACACGTAGTAGTCCTCGTAGCCCTTCTCGCGGCGCACCGACTTCTGGAACCAGACGTTCTCGTCGCTCGAATGGTTCGGCACAAAGTCCAGTATGATCTTCAGTCCGCGCTCGTTGGCTGCGGCAATGAGCTGATCGAAATCATCCAGCGTGCCATACTCCTCCTGGATGTCGAAGAAATCGGCGATATCGTAGCCAAAGTCAGCCATGGGCGAGGTGAAGATGGGCGACAGCCAGGTGGCCGTCACGCCCAGTTCCTTGAGATAGTCCAGCTTGGAGATGATGCCCTGCAGATCGCCAATGCCATCGCCATTGGAGTCCTTGAAGGAGCGCGGGTAGATCTGATAGAACTGCGCCACCTGCCACCAGTCCCGAGTCGCCTCGCTGCTGCTCGCTAGCTCCAGCTCAATGGCAGCCGCCTGGCCCCGCTCACAGCTCAGCGCCAAGCAGAGCAACGTCACCAACAACTTTAATAAATGCGCCATAACTAATGCCCGACTGGGTCCATAGCGCCATTTATATAGGTGCCGAATTCTCCCCCACCCCAAGCTTCTGCCCAACTCAAGTTATATATGTCAAGTGCTTAGATTGTGTGTAAGTATTTATTTGGTATTTTTATCACTTAACAACTACAGAGCTCAACGAGAGCTCAGATAGAGCAGCACTTGAGCCAGCACCAGGTAAATGCCCAGCACAGGCAGCTGACGCTGCTCCCCATTCGTATAGTACGTGTAGTAAGTGGAGATAGTTCGCAGAACCAGCGACTCCTTGGGTAGCAGCTGCAGCGCGGAGACATTGATACGATCACTGCGGAAATATAAGTGGGGAAAAAACGTTATAGTATGAGTCATTAAATAATAGGTAAAAAAAAAAAATTGAAAAGATTGATTAAAAATAGGTAAACAAAAAAAAAGATTGAAATATATATAATATAAAGTCTATCTAAAAATGTGTCAAGTACTTAAATACAGTGACGAGCAAAACTGTAACACGAATTCATTGTTGCAACTTCAAGAGTCTGTATTTTTGCTTCTACTATATGGATGTTTAAGATCTTAATTTTATTTTGTTAGTATGGTATTTAGCTGTCTTACCTGAAAGTTTGAAATCATTCGGTTGGCTGGAATAATTATAAGAAATAAAAATGTAAAGAAAGTCAAATGTTACAGTTTTGCACCCGGGTCATTTTTCAACAAATGTATTTATTAATAATTTTTTAATAATTAATGCATAGCACTTTTGACTTTTTTTGCTCATTAATATCATTTGCCATCATTTTTGTGTACCGTCGCACCATTTCAGCAAAGTCGCGCACCAAATGTCCTTGTTCCTCTCCAACAGCTCTTTCATTCCATTTGGAGCCACCCATAATTCGCAAGCTGCGATTTCACATGACTCCATATATTTTCAATGATATTCATGTCTGAAGAGTATTCAGGACACTTCAGGGACTTGAATCCTTGCCATATTATCCACTTTTTGACCAAATTAGACGTGTTCTTTGAGTCATTGTTCTGCATTTTTCAGTAGTAAAACCCATATGTTCACTTAATTCTCCCAAATTCTTTTGTAAAATGATCAGGTATTGCTCATGAAACGTTATTCCATCGATTAATACCAAGAGTCCAGCACAATTTTTGTTTATTCTCCCCCAAACCAAAAGAGAGCAGCCACTGCGCTTGACAGTTTGCCTTACTGTAATGTTACNTATTAAAATTTAAATTTAAATACGTGCCAAAATATGTGTTGTATACTTCTGCTTAAATAAATGTACGTATAAATATTTATTGTATTTATTTATACACTTTCACTTATGTATATTTATAAAGCTGAGTTTTGTTTAGCTACTTTTCCATGATATATTTTAGTATCATATACATTTTCTATAAGTATTTTGCTTATATAATTAAATAAAGTAAATTGATATTTTATTTCATCATGAAATATTTTGGTATGTAGTTAATACCTAAAGACAAACATTTGTATACACATATTTTATACAAATATTTACATTTATGGAGTTAACTGAAGTAGCCCCAACAGCAGATTTTATGCATACAGATAAACATATGTATATACATATTTTCTATAAGTACTTTGTTTATAGAGTTGAGTATTGTGGAAGTAGCTAAAATTTTATTAACTTTCTTGAAGTATTTTCTTAATTAGTTGTCCAGGTGGGTTAATGGAAAAATTACTAAGCTCTGTGACTCAGCTAGAAATGAATTTGTGCTTAAAAGTTAATTAAAAGCATGGGTATTTCCTATTAACTTATTTAAGTGGGCCAATATGAAAATAGCTACATTCTGACTAACTTCAAGACTTTTAAGTGACTTTAAATTCCAAATATGTTTAATAATTTGAATAAAGTATTAAACTACAAATTCTTCATGGATCAATTTCATTGTGTTTTAGATACGACAAAGCTTTGTAATCTACATAAAATTCAATATAAAATGTATATATAGCATATCCGTTTTCGTATTCAATGATATCTGAATTATATTATTCTTATTTTAAACAAAATCAATATAAAAAATATTTTATTCGTTCTCTATTCGTTGCACTTACCCGACTTTCAGGTCAGGGTTTCCTGAAACCAGCACAACCTCCATTTGGGCTGTCAGATCTGAGAAGCTTTGATTCAGATTGACGGTTTCAACGCCATCAAAGATGTTCAGCACCGTCACGTAGATAAAGTCATGCGTAAGGAAACTGCGAATATAATATTCCCATCAATCAAATAGTATTTTTGTAGTCGTCTCAATCGACTCACCGCTTGACACCCAGAACCGCATCACTCAAAGCCTTCACCTCAGTTTCGCCCTGCTGCAAGGTTTTCGCTTGACGTTTGAGCCTCAGCAGATTCTTGTAGATATTCAGATGACTCAAGCTCTGTTTACTCTCCTCCTCGACATTGACCCACTTATAGTCCACGGCAATGGGCAGCCACGTCTTGCTGGCATTGCTGAAGCCAGCATCGGCCTCGCCGCTCCACTGGAAGGGCGTGCGCTCGGGATCGCGCGAGAAGCGCTCATAGATGCTGGCATTGGTATTGCAGGCGGAGGGATCGACGGTGTCCTTCCAGGATATCCACACATTGGTCATGCCCAGCTCCTCGCCCTGATAGGTCACGCTGGCGCCCGGCAATGTGGTGATCAGCATATTCAGCATGTCCACGCGATCAGCGCCCAGGCGCGAGCCCACGCGCCACTGATCGTGGTTGCCCAGCTGGGAATGAGACACCATTAGATCCCAGTCGGGCATAGGAATTCACTTACTTACCACCCAGTTGGCTGTGCGACCCTTCGGCATGTGCTGCAGCCACTTCTGTATGGTCCGTGCGTAGTCGTTCGCATTGGAATTGTTCGAGATTTCGGTTATCAGCAGAAAGTTGAACGGCAGCTGAGCTCCCTGGGCCGTTGCATTGCCGTAGTACTGCATCACAATATCGATGGGTGAATAGGTCTCGGCCAGCAAGATGCGCTCGTCGCCCTCCTTGAACTCGTCCAGCACGGCGCGCCAATCGTAGACCATGGCAACTGTCTCCGGCTGATCCACTGTGTATATGTGCTGCAGATAGCCGTAGTCATCCGGATCATTGACCCACTCGTTGCGGGGCTCGTCGCGATATTGACCCGCTGCATCGGGCGCTATCTCAAACACGCTCGGCACCGCATCAATGCGAAAGCCGGCCACGCCCTTCGACAACCAGAAGCGGAGAACATTCTGGAAGAAGGAAATAAGGACACGATCAAGGCAAGATCAAAGCAGGAGCCTGTCTAGAAGTAGATGCATAAGTCCACATCTACTACTATTTACTACTCTGATCTATTTTCTAGTTTTATATACTACCGTTTACTACGTTGATCTACTATCTACTACTCTGAAGTACTTTTTACTACTATCCAGTACTCTACTGATTTACTATCTACTACTCTGATCTACTTTCTACTACTATTTACTACTGTTTACTCCCTTGATCTACTATCTACTACTCTGAAGTACTTTTTACTACTATACACTACTCTACTGATTTACTATCTACTACTCTGATCTACTTTCTACTACTATTTACTACTGTTTACTCCCTTGATCTACTATCTACTACTCTGAAATACATTTTACTACTATCCAGTACTCCACTGATTTACTATCTACTACTCTGATCCACTTTCTTTACTTTACTATTTACTACTGTTTACTCTCTTGATCTACTATCTACTACTCTACTGATTTACTATCTACTACTCTGATCTACTTTCTACTATTTCTAACTCTATTGATCTGTCTTATACTACTATCTACTACTACTAACTACTGCTTACTACTCAAATTTACCATCTACTACTATCTTCTACTCTATTATTACCTTCTACTCTACTACTATCCACTTTTACTACTACTACTACTATTTACTACACAACTGATCTACTTTCTCCTACTTTTTTTTTCTGCAATAATACTTTTATCAGAATAGATTACATACTTTCCACTACACTCCGCTACTTTCTACTACTATTTACGTGATTCATTCCCGCACATCATATGCACTCAAACACACCTTCATGGTCTCTCGCACTTTGGGATTTCGATAATTGAGATCCGGTTGCTTCTTCAGGAACTGATGCAGATAGTACTCCTGTCGTCCCTCGTGCCACTGCCAAGCGGAGCCGCGGAACACACTCCGCCAGTTGCTGGGCGGCTGACGCGTGCCGTTCACCATGCGCCCGGGATGCCACACATAGAAGTCCTTGTAGTCCGGTTCGCCTGCAGCGGAACGCTTGAACCAATCGCACTCATCACTCGAGTGATTCGGTACAAAGTCCAAAATGATCTTCACATCCAGCTGCTTGGCCACCTTCATCAGGTGCTCGAAGTCAGCCATGGTGCCAAAGATGGGTGCTATTTCCGTGAAATTGGCAATGTCGTAGCCAAAGTCCGCCATGGGCGAGGTGAAGATGGGCGATAGCCAAGTGGCCGTAATGCCCAGTTCCTTCAGATATGGCAAACGATCCGCGATGCCTGCAAACGCAAATTACTTTTAGAATGCCTATTACGTATTAGTTTACTTTGTTTTGCTCGCATTTGCCGCACCGTTCAGGTCGCCCACGCCGTCGCCATTGCTGTCTTTAAATGACCTTGGGTAAATTTGATAGAAGGCGCCCGTTTGCCACCATTTGGGCGCATTCTTCTGCTGCTCAATGTCCACAAAGTTCGCATGATAGTTGGGAAAGGGTTGCGCCACTGCCGATCCCATCCACTGCACCAGCAGAAGCAGCAGCCAAGCCACCATGAGGCTCATTTTTTTCCGTTTCGTTTTTCGACTTCCCCCTTGCTTCCCTCGAGCTCTGTTGCACTTTCTCTTTCACCGACCGAACGCCGCAAACAAACAAAGACAACTGACGATCGCCTGCGCCAATGTAAATTTACAGCCGGCTTGCTTAGAGCTTGCTGAGAGTGCTGCAGAGAGCGTGCTGAGCACAGCATTTGAAATCAACTGTCGGCTGCACAGAGAGCAGCGGTAAATAATGAGCTTTAAAAATAGAGAGAAGTGACGCGACTCGCGAGTGTGTGTCTGTCAGAGAGAGACAGGAAGAGAGAGAGAGAGCATCAAAGTGCGCACATTAGCAAATTTTGCACAGACGTCTACATATGAGAATTATTTATGTGGCAATAGGCACAGTGGTGTAATATAAATAAATGCGAAATTCATGCAATGAGTGCTCAGCACATTTAATATAAAATAAATTAAAAATTTATAATCTTAAAT